GTTTTCCACCCTTTGATTTTTAGTCTACAGTTTTATTGGATACATCAGACTATTATATTTTGTTTTTTGATCAAGTCTGTGTCCTTTAATTGGGGAGTTGAGGCCATTTACATTGAGCATTATTACTGAAAGACATTTTCTTATTCCTGTCATTGTCTTGTTTTTCTGTTGTTGACTGCTTTATTTTTCTCTTTTTGTTTAATTTTCCCCTTGCCTGATGTATTCATTCTATCCAATTTTTTTGGCTTTATGTGGGCTTCATTGTCTCTGCCTCAGATACAGTATTCTTGAGTATTTTTTTGGAGTCTGGTGTTTATGAATTTCTTCAAATATTCTTTGTCATGGAATGCCCTTGTTTCTTCATCAATATTGAAAGATAGTTTTGCAGGATATATTAGTCTGGGTTGGAGGTTGTTTTATTTTAAGGCTTGAAAAACACTTCACTCCAAGCTCTCTTGGCCTTTAAAATTTGTGTTGAAAAGTCTGCTGTAACCCTAACGAGTTTACCTTTAAAAGTGTTTTGCTTTTCTCTGACAACTTTTATGATTTTGTCTTTGTGTTGGACTTTGAGATATTTTACTAATGTATGTTGTGGAGAGCTTCTTTTCTTATTGTAGTTACTTGGGGTTTTATAAGCTTTGCTTACCAGTATGTTGAATTTCTTTCCCTGTGCTTGAAAAGTTTTCTGTTATGAATTTTTGTAAACAGATTTTTAAATTCCATTTATCCTGTCCTCTTAATTTTTCTCTAATTCCAGTTAGCCTTTGGATAGCCTTCTCACCATCCTCTAGTAGCTGCTCTCTGGATTTTCCTTGCTCTTATCATTTTTAAGGTTTCTCTGAGTATGTTATCATGTGGTTCCACTTTGTTCTCAAATTCTGAAACCCTGTGTTCACATTGGTCATTTCTTGTCTTTATAAATTCAGTAGAATTCTTTATCCATGGGATTTCTGTTCTATATCTTTTTTGGAGTCCGTTTCCTTGGTAAAGTTGTCATCTATATTTTAAAACATTTTGGTCAGCTCTTCCAATTTTTTTATTTATCCCATAAGTACCTTGGTTGGTTTATGTGATTTTTCTACTATTTTTGGGTTATCTCATCTTTGAGCTCACCAAATTTCTTTGTTTCCTCTGTCATCATTTCATATAACTCAGCTGTCTGGTGTTTGCTTTCCTCTCCGTTGGTGTCCCTTGGGTCTGTTTTGGGAAAAATGGGAGTCCTTAGAGGTATTTTATTACTGTTTGTTTCCTTCCTTCCCCTCCCTCCCTCCCTCCCTCCTTCCCTCCCTACCTCTCTGTTTTTGTTTCCTTCTTTCCTTCCTTCCTTCCTTCCTTCCTTTCTTTCTTTCTTTCTTTCTTTCTTTCTTTCTTTTGCTGTGGTGAAGGTTGAGGTGATACAAAGTGAATTTGTTGTTATGAAGATTTCTTTATTTAGTTTTTCTTTTTAGTGACATGTTTATTTTATGTCAAGAAGTTTTGTTTACCACTGCAACCTATTCAATTCATTTGTGTTGGACCCTGTCACTGATTTCCTTTGCTCATATGAAATTAGTTTGGTGCATGAATAACCATTCAATTTGATGTACCAATAATAGTGTGATTGAAGTAGTAATTGAAAATCTTCAACACAGAAAAGTTCAGAAACAGATGGCTTTCTGGGATTTCTGACCCCAGGCATCACTGGAATCAAGTAGCAGAGTCTGGGTGAAATGTACCACAGCAACAAGCCAGGAAGGCTGAATATTTCTTACTATTGTTTTAAGTTGTAATTCCTAATGACGCATGATGTTGAACATGCTTTTTTATGCTTATTTGCCATTTGTACATTTATTTTGGTGACCTATTTGTTCGCATCTTTTGTCCATGTTTTATTTGGGTTGGTTTTGTTGTTCAGTTTGTACACTTTAGATGCCAATTCTTTGTCAAAAATGTCTTGCAATGCTTTCCTCTAGTTTGTGGCTTGACTTTTTCTTCCCTTAACAATGTTTTTCACAGAGCAGAAGTTTTTAATTTTGGGAGAGGGTACTGGGAATTGAACTCAGGGCCTCGCACTTGCTAGGCAGGCCCTGCACTGATAAGCTACATCTCCAGCCATTAATTTTAATAAAGTATAATTTATCAACTTTTTTCTTTCCTGGGTTATGCTATGTCTAAAAACTCATTACCAAACCCAAGGTCACCGAAATGTTCTCTTCTAGATACTATCATCTAGAAGTTTTATAGTTTTGAATTATACATCTAGATATGTGGTCCATTTTGAGTTAATTTTTGTGTGAGGTGTAAGTCTGTTGTCATGTTTTTGCAACTGGAGGTCTCATTGTATGAGCACCATTTCTTGTAAAGCTAGTTGCTTGTCTTTTGTCTCTTCCTATGAACTTCAGAATAAATTTGTCAGTATGCACAACAGTTTGCTGTGATTTTTTTTATTGGGAATGCAGTGTCTGTATGAACTTGAGAATGAACATCTTAACAATATTGAATCTTCCAACCCATAATGCATACTTTCACGTTTATTTAGGCTTCTCTGCCTCCTTGCATACACATTTTAAAATTTTCTAGATTTTATATATGTTTTGTTAGTTGGTTTTTTTTTAATAAAACTGTAGTGGTTTGTGTTTTTAATTTAAATTTTAGTAATTTCTGACAAAAGTAAAACAATTGATTTTTGTATGTTAACATTGTATTCTGAGAGCTAGCTATAATTTTGTCTAGTTTTTATGTTGATTCTTTGGGATTTTCTACATAATCATGTCAACTATAAAAATGACAGTTTTTCCTTTTTTCTCATTCTGAATACCCTTATTTCCATTTTCGAGGGGGGCTTTTTTGAGACAGGGTCTCCCTAGGTATTTCACATCAGCCTTGAACTAACTGTGTAGCGCAGGGTGGCCTTGAACTCACAGTGATCCTCCTGGCTCAGTCTCCTGAGTGCTGGGATTACCACCACGCTGGTGTGCACCATCATGCTGGGCTCCTTATTTCCTTTTCTTGTGTTATTATACTAGCTACAATTTCAAGTCTGATGTAAAATAGGAGTCAGAGAGGAAATCCCTGCCTTGTTCATTATTTTATTATTAAATGAGGTATCAGTTTTAGGTCTTTTGTGTTGTTAATCAAATTAAGAAAGTTTTCTTCTATACCTAGTTTGTTAAGAATTTTTAATTATGTGGGACCAGGGATTTAGCTCAGTGGTGCCGGCACCTGCCTCACAAGTGCAAGGTCCTGAGTTTGATCCCCAGTACCAAAAAAAAAAAAGAATTTTTAATTATGAAAGGATTTTGTCAAATACATTTCCTGCATCAATTGATGTGGTCATAATGATTTTTCTTGTTTTAGCCCTATGGATATGGTAGATTACGTTAATTGCTTCCCTTTCTCCCTTTTTTTCCTTTTGAAAATTACTTTTCTCATACCTATATTGTTTGTTCCATACAAAGGTGGAAAGAAATGATATGTGAAACATAAAGAAAATAAAAGGAGAAGGTTAGATGAGAAAAAAAGCCCTGAATATCTGAAATAAATCTCTCTTGGTCATGGTGTATAATTCTTCATATACATTGTGGGATTCAACCTGCTACTGAATATCTGAAATAAATCTCTCTTGGTCATGGTGTATAATTCTTCATATACATTGTTGGATTTAACCTATTAATATTTTGTTGAGGATTTTTGCATGTATGTTCATGAGCAATATTAAGTTGTAGATTTGCTTTCTTGAATTTTTTTCTAGTTTTAGTATTAGCCAACATGATTTTTAAACTTTTCTTCATTCCTCTTTGGGTTTTTTCCCATGTATATTCCTGTGATTTTAACTGTGTGAAATGATATACAATTTGTATGGTATTTGTTCACTTAAATTCTTTTTTTTTTTTTTGGTACTGGGGATCGAACTCGGGACCTTGAGCTTTCGAAGCAGGCGGCAGAACCACTGAGCTAAATCCCTGGCCCTAAGTTCACTTAAATTCTTTATCTCTGACGTCTTTTCAGTTTCTAATAAAGCCTTTTTCTGCTGCTTCATCAATTTTATTGTATGATTTTCATTTAAATAATTGTATTAAAATCATGTTGAATTTTAAAATGAGAAATATCCTTTAATCAGCTCAATTTATGAAGAAATTATTATCCTCTGGAATATTTAGATTCTTCTCTAGGATTCCAGCTGCACTAAGAATGAAGAAATTATTTCCTCTCACTAATAATATATATATGTCATAGTATGACCTTTGTGCTTACATGGGAACTCTGATCTGGAAAGAATAGTGGGGTTATATGGCTTGTCAGTGTTGGGGTAGTCACAGAACAGGCTCACTGGCAGTGGGGGAGCATTGTTTCTCAGTCAACCTTTTTTTTTGCCTTTCATGTATTTCTTTTCACCTTTGTGTGGAACAAAGAATACAGTTCAGTAGTGATTTACTTATCCAGCAAAATCATACATTTCACTGTCAAATATTAAAACAAGTAATTTTAAGAAAATTTACATATTTCTCTTTTTTTAGAATTTTTTTAATTGATGTAGTCATATACATGTTTTATATATTATGGGATACAATTGACATTGCAAAACATATACAGTGTGTAATGAACAGATCAGAATAAATGGTATATCTGTCACCTTAGAAATTATATTGCTTTAATGTTGGGTTCATTCCATATTTTCTCTACTAGCTGTTTTGAAATACTCAGTTAATTTTTGTCAACCATAGCTATCCTGCTGTAATCTAGAACTTTCTAAGTTAATTCATTCTATCCAGCTGCAACTCTGTGCATGTTAAGCATACTCTCCATCCCTTTTCTCTCCTGACTTCCTTTTTTCACCCTTGTTTTTTGTTATTAAAATGTTTTGCAGCTTAACATAGGTTGTGACCAGGGAAGATAATGGCAACAAAGAGGAAATTTTAGGACTCAGTGAACCTTAGAGTATACTAGAATAAATGAGGGGTTTTTTTAATATTCAGAAAAAAATGGCAAGCTGTTATGTTTGTATGTGTACTTTTTCCTAGGCAGAGAATCCCCCTAATGGACCAGAATGTGGTTATGGCTCCTTTCACCAGCAGTACTGGCTTGATGGAAAGATTATTGCTGTGGGGGTGATCGACATCCTTCCATACTGCGTTTCCTCTGTATATTTGTACTATGATCCTGATTATTCATTTCTCTCCTTAGGTGTCTACTCTGCATTACGGTAAGATCACTTTTTGCACATGTTATAATGGGTTACATAGAACTTCATATAATTACTCATTTGATTATATTTTATTATGTAATAATGGAAGCCCTATTTGACAATGTATTATAATTTGTTGCTATTGTCCTCAGTTATATGTTGGTATTTAGAAGTACTATCTTTAGAATGATGCCACTGTCTGTTGGTAATTCTCTAATCTAGCTTTTTGGTGTTTCTGTATACTCTGGGGTATAGGAAACCTATAGATTTGGGAATGTTTTTGTTGGTTCATTTATACATTTATTTAAGCTCCCCAATCAGAACCTGTTATGCTTCTTAAATGTTATATATTTATATTCTTGTCATTGCTAGCTTATGTATTTTTTCACTAATTAAAAGTTAATGTGGTATTAATGAATTAAAGCAATATGAATGCTGAAAGAAATACGGTTAGTCTTGTTGCTTAAGGACAGGGACACATTCTGAGAAAGAGTAGGCAGTTTTGTGGTTGTACACACATTGTTGGATGTAGTTATACAAACTAGATGGGTACAGTATCACTAGGTGGTAAACGGTACCACAGTCCATAAACTTAATTTGTTCTATAATTTTAGAGAAGATGGCCATGTTTGTATTTGTGTGGGAAAGATGGTCATGGTGGTGTTTGTCACCCCATGCAGAGTTTGCAACAAAAACAAAATTTTGCCAATTCTTCTCTTTGCAAAACAAATTGTTTGGAAACAAAAGCATTTGTGAACCAACGCACCACTAATTTTATGGACCATTGTTAGATTGTGTCCATTGTTGACTGAGAAGTCAGTCATTATAGGATCATGAATATCTGTACCAAACAGGAATGGAGAATTCCTGGCTGGCTGCTTGAATCTGTGATCCTCATTAGAAAATAATTTCTCTTTTATGTCCCTCCCTGGCTGCAAACATATATAAATGCAGGACAAACATCTTTTGATGGTAAGATGATTGGGGTCATCGGAATATTTGCTTCCGTTTTTTCCTCCAGGTACCAGGGATTGTTTCTGCTTTTATTCCTGCTTCTCTATATGTACATGTGGTACAGATGGGAAGGAGTGTCTGGAATTGTTTTTCTTTTTTTTTGTCTGGAAGCTCATCTGTTCTTTTCTGTCTATTTTTCTCTTTCATTTCTTAGTCTTTATGTCTGATGCTCACATTTTTACTCATGATGAAGTATTCAGCCAGATAATTTTATATTTGAGTATATGATTTTTGTTATAAATGTAGAGTTTGTTTTTTCCTTAAATCAACAATTTGCTCTTTTCTTTTTTTTTTTCAAAATCTGGTCCAGTAATTGTATTTTTAAATTTTTAAATTTTTATTAGTACATGTTTGTAGTACATAATGATTACATTCATGGTGGAGAATTGGTACATGTGCATAACATATCTTGATTCTTTTTATATCCCCTAATAATTGATTTTTTGGTATATATTGCAGTGGCCCGCAATATAGAGTTCTCCATCTTGATATTTTCCACCTGATTTTTCTCTTAATACTAGTTTATAACAAATTCAAAATTATATAATAACTGGGCTGGGGATTTAGTTCAGTGGTTCTGCTGCCTGCCTCGCAAGCGCAAGGTCCTGAGTTCGATCCCCAGTACCAAAAAAAGTAAAAATAAAATAAAATTATATAACAACTGATCTCCAACTATACTTTAATTTTCTTATGTATTTAATAGTCTTTTTGTATGAAGTGATTACATTATTCATTGCTGTTGGCAGTTTTACTGGAATTGGAATTTAAAGCATTGCATTTTATAACTTAGAAGTTTACATTTATTCTCTTTAGAAGTTTATATTTATTTCAGAAAATGCATTTTTTTATGTCAGAATCATTTGATACTTTCAAATTATTGCTTTTTTCTTTTAGTTTTTATGTGTCACTTTACAATGTGTATTTGTAGATTTTTCTGGACCTAGCAAATGATATTAAGAATAGTATTTAATCTTACATAATAAATCCTTACCTATGTATGAAATATTTATGGTTCAATAAACTGAGAGATGGTTTAGATTCCTGCTGCATTTGAGATAGTAAATAACCAATTCCCAGAAAAATTAAAGTTCTGTTTATGTCATCATATAGCTTTTGCAAAGCTTAGAGCTGGAGAATTATGAGGAAGCAGCAGAACCTGAGAGCGTAGGTTTTGCCAGGGTGCAGAGAGTGACACTGTGCTGCAGGCTTTCACTTCCTTTTAGTGCTCTTGAAAGAAGAGTCCTTGGGTTTATAGAGGAGGGAAGGCAGCCAAGAGAGATTGACATTTTGAAGCAAAACTGGGCAGAGGAGGTTACAAGTTGACAATTTTATTGATTTTAATGTATTTCAGGAGAACCTGTTTATGTAGTTTTCCTTTTGTTTCTCAATCCTACAATCAATATCAAATTTTGTATTTTTAGACTTTGTATAATGGAGTCACATATTTTAAGTGTTTAGAAATCAGTGCTCATGGTATTTACTTACGTATGTTTAGGAAGATGAATTTTAGAAATGTAATTACTTTTTAAGTGTGTTTATTTGCATATAATCTTTTTCCTTGCATCATTCATAGAAGTGAATAAGATAGGCAAGGACTTCCAATTTATCAAAGCAAACAATAAATTAGAAAACAGACTACTCAATTTTAGATACTCTGAGGAAAACAAAATCAGCCAGCTGGGCCTTATGTTCTGCAGCTGTACTCTTAGCACTCTGGGAGGCTGAGGTAGGAGGACTGTAAATTTTGAGCCCAGCCTGCCAATTTAGCCACTTAGCAAGACCTTGTCTTAAAATAAAATTTAAAATAAATAAATAAGAACTTGAGGTGTAGCTCAGTGTGAAGGCCCTAGCTTCAATCTCTAGTAATGCATGCATACGTAGATAAATATCAGCAGTGGTGGTAGGCGCAAGATTTTTTTTTTAAATGTTTTATTGTATATGTTTGTGATACATTGTGATTATATTCAATTTGGGTTATTGATGTATGTACATATCACATCTTGTTTATCTTTACTTCCCCTGACCTTTCCAGACCTCCTCTTTTCCTCCTTCCCCAGACCCCTTTCCCATCTCTATAGTCTACCTGATTCTTAACATGCCTTAACACTTTTACAAATGACTCTGATTTATTCCTCTTTATGGTTGAGTAATATGTATATCACAACTTTTCCATTCATCTGTTGCTAGGCACATAGGCTTGCTTCCATGATTTAGCTATTGTGAGTTGTGCTGTTATAAATATGGATATTCATGTATCACTGTAATAATATGTTGATGTTAGCTCTTTTAGGAAGATGTTCAGAAGAGATATAGCTGGGTCAAATGGAATTTCTATTTTTAATATTTTGAAAAGTCTGCCTACTGCTTTCCATAGTGGTTATACTAGTTTACATTCCCACCAGCAATATAGAAGAGTTCCTTTTTCTCGACAACCTTACCAGCATTTGTTGAGGCTACTATAGTCTTCCAGTGGAGCCAAAAATGTTGGGTTAGACCAGAATATTTGAGGTGGAGGTGATGACTAAGTGGCCAGATGCAGGGTATATTTTAGAGATAGAGCCCAGATGACTTTCTGGTGGCTTGTTTATGGGGGTGAGAGGAAAGGGACAGTTAAGAAGGACTGATAGGTTTGGAGGAAGTGGTGATGGGATGAAATTAGCTGGGCAGGACTAAGTAAAGAAGTACAGTGGTGGCTCAGCTGGCCTTCTGAGGGAGGGTGGTTCTACATTTGTTTGTATCTGTCCATTCTTTCCTCACTTTGAACCTTGAAAGTGGATTAGTTCTAGGAATAGTAAAATGTATTCTGTGTAGGCTAATGTTTAATCTGCTTGGATTTAGAAGTATGTGCATTCGAAATTCAGTCTTTAAAATTCATTTAAAACATTTTTGGAGTAACATTCCTTCAAAGATTTAAATTTGAACCTGAAAAAAGCACAAAATCTTCAATTAAATAATACATTTCTCCTGCATTTTAAGTATCCATTGCTGTAAAAGCAAGAAAGAAAGCCTTCAAGAAATGCACAAACTTAAGAGCAACTTTGTGTTTTAGAAATGTACTCAAGTTAAATCCTTCACGTACAACCAGTTGTTCAGGTGGGCAATTGGGATGGAATTGTGTCCAAAATTTGTCTGGATACAAATTACACTTCACACATGGGCATACAGTAAGTGTACTGACAGCTTCGTTGTCCAAGCAGCCCTCACCTCTGCCAAGAGATAGAGAAAACGTGGTGAGGTACCAGTATTTTCCCTTTCATTTTAGCAAAAATGTATATTAAATTTGCACCTAGATATAAGAATCAATGTGTCATATCAAGTGAAAGTATTTGTATGTAAATGGTCATAATAATACTTTTCTTGAAATGTCTTGGTTTTTGAGTTTTCTAAAATTTGCTTCTCTGTTCTTAATCTGGTAAGCCCAGATTCTTTGAGGATTCTAGAGTTGTAGATGTCTTTAATCTTGTGCTATTTGAATTTTAGATCAGCTACTTTGCCTAGCAGATCGTCAAAATAACTTAGAGGGTTTGGGGGTATCTCTTTAGTAAGAATCATCTTGCAGTGTTTTGAAAATGTTTTTATTTCAAGATTTTGATTTTTTTTTGGATAGTTAAGGGCGGGTTTTATCAAATATTTGTCATATAATGTTTTGAAAGCTGGAACCAAAATTAACTGTACCTTCATCTCCTTTTGGCAGAGAAATTGCTTTTACTAGACAACTTCATGAGAAAACATCTCAGCTCAGCTATTATTATATGGGTTTCTACATTCATTCATGTCCCAAGATGAAATATAAGGTAAAGTTGATTTTCATACATTTGTCGTTTTCTTTATAGAAAAATGGAACTTTAATAAATTTTTTATCTCAGGGCATAGGATTTGGTGCTTTGAAAAAGGGATGAATAGATTAATAAGGAAATCTGTTGGCTGTCTCAAAAAGTAAGCTTTCTGTAATGAGAACCACAACCTGTGCTGGTCTTATTTTGTAATCCATCATGTTATTTTGAGATTTAAGTATATTTCAGAATTTCCCTTTTAAAAAAGATTGTATGACTTTCTTTAGTGAAACTCTTTGATGTTTCCTAAGGATTAGTGGAGTGTAGAGCTGTAGAGAGGAGCAGACTGTTCCCTCCACCCACTGTGATTCCCCACCATCACAGAGGGCTTTAAGAGCTGAAGACTCAAAGATATAGGCATGAGCATAGCACTTGCAGCTCTGATGATTCAAAAAGATGTAAGCTTGAGTTTTCCACTTAAGAATTGTGATCTAGGTGAATCTGGGGACATCTTATGTGCAACCAGGTCATACAGTGGTTGGTAAGTGACCTAGAAGGACATTGGGTTTTAATCCATAAGATGGGGAAGAAAAAAGGAGAACCTTAAGAAAAGAGTAGGTATAATGGAGAAGCACATTTCAAGGAGAAGGAATGTATAAGGAGTTAGAGATGACAGCGCCTATAATGTATTCATAGGAAAAAAAATGATCAATGGACTAGGAAGTACCTTGAAATCTAGCCTAAAGAACTCTGGCAATGGAGAAGTCGATGGTTTTCAGAGCAAAGAGCAGTATAAATAAAATATATAAATCTGTTCTTATGTATAAACATGATTTCTAACTAAACAAGAATTTTAAAACAAGATAAAATTAAAAAGTGTGCTTGAGTCCCTGTGTACCCATTATCAAACATCAGCAATCATTACACATCTTACTTCATCTATTTCTTTGCCTTGTTCCTTCCTCTACCCCCTTTTGAATGATTCTGGAGCAGATCTAAGATATCCTTCATTTAAAAATATTTTAGTGTATATTTTTAGTTTTATTTTGTTTTTGGTACCAGGGATCGAACTCAGGACCTTGTGCTTTCAAGGCAGGTGCGGTGTCACTGAGCTAAATCCCCGGCCCTAGTGTATATTTTTAAAAGATAAGAGTACTTTGAGAACATAACCACATTTTCATTGTCATACCTAATATATACTAACAGTGTTTCCAAATATCTGGTATCCAGTCAGTGTTTATATTTCTCTAATTGTTTCTTAGCTTTTTTCACTGTCAGTTTGCTTGACTTAGGACTCGAATAAGGCATATAGATTGTATTTGGTTGATAAATCCCTTAAATCTTTTAAATCCACACCCCTCCCCCCTCCCTTGTCCTAAAAGGAATAATCCATAGAACTTTGTGATTAACTAGTTGTGGGAATGATCCTGGTTTTAAAATTTTGAGATGAAGGCTGGGGATTTAGCTCAGTGGTTATGCTGCCTGTCTCGAAAGCACAAGGACCCGAGTTCAATCCCCGATACCAAAAAAAACACCCCAAGAAAACCTTTGAGGTGAAATACTGAGTGGCGGATGGTTCTATGACAGAAAGTACATATTCTAAAAGTAGGACTGGCTATGAGAGCAGAGTAAAAACACAGTCCTGTACCTTGCTGGTTTTACATTGACAGTCTAGGTAGTCTGATCCAAGTATCCTTCTGGCCTTTGGAGAGTCTCTTTTGATCTCTTATTTGTTTGATCTCTCTTACACGTAGAGAATAGATAGATAACTTCTATATTTGATTGTCTTCAAAATTACCTTTGTGTCTGAATTATAAATTTACTTGATTGACCTAAACATATGTTCTTTCCAGAGGAAAAAGTATGATAATATTTCTGTTTGCCCTAAAATATTACTGTGTCTTCTCCTAGCTCATTTTACTGGTATAGTATTTAGTTCTAAATTAGTTCAAAGTAGAAAACTCAAATGTTCCAGCTATTTTGACACAGTTACAAGACTCAAAGAAAGCTCTGGCTATGCTGTATATTAACCTTCCTTTGTACATGACCATTCTAAACAGAAGTGTTATTATACCATAGTTCAGGACTTGACAAGGATTTCATTTTTAACTCTGTAATGTCACAGAATTAGATGTTTAATGTTTAGTGTCAGAACATTTGTCTTGCAAGCTTTTTCATATGCCTGAGCTAAATTCTAAATTGCTCTATATTTTAACTTATTTCTAATTTTCTGTCAATGGAGATAGATCTAGTTTCATCAGCTTTTTCTTTTTCATGAAGACTTCGAGCTCACACCTTTATTGACTGTAGTCCAGACTAAATATTTTATGTTCTTTAGTTCTCCTAGGAAAAGATTTATTTGGAAATTGTCAGTCCCTATACTGTTTTAAGTTAAGGATTTAAAAAGTGCTTTTCCTGCTGTTTGATCTGGCTTAATCATATACAACCTAAATCCATCAGAATTATAGCTTCCAGATACTAATTTTTAAAATTCCATTTATATGAGAGGTAGACTACCTGCCTTCTGGCTTTCCTTCTTTCCCTCACCATTGAAATATTTATTGAGGTCTTACTGGACGTAACAACAGTGAACAGTGTAAGCAGATCCCTGGTCTCATGGAACTTTAGTCCCACTGCAGAACCTAATAGTAAATAAATAAGACAAATTTCTGATAGAGAAAGGTACTGTGGCATCTGATAGACATTAACTGAGTGTGGCTACTTTAGATTATGTGGTCAGGATTGAGGTTTAATTTTTAGGCAAAGATTCAAATGACAATATGACAACCAGCCAATGGAAGTTTGGGAGTCATTTCAAAGAAAGATTGTGGAAACAGATAGTGTAGCACTGCTTAGCTGTTGAGTCTCATAGTCTTCAGTTTTGCCTGCAGGGTACTTTACATGGTTCTGGAAAACATTTAAAGTTCTAATACTTGGGTCTTACTCTCAGAGATCTTAATTCATTGGTCTGGGATCAGTAACAAGCATCAGTCTTTATCTTTTCTTTTTGTAAATGCATGGAGGATTCTGATGTAAGTCAGACCTAAGAATCACTGTACCAAATTATTTTTTTATATTTGGGACCCCAATGAGGAACATGAAAGATGATTATTTCCCATTGTAAAGTTTGCTATTTTCTGTTTATTAAATTCAGAAGGGATTAAATTTATT